GGTGGCTCGTCACGTCGATGGGGAGTTGAAGTGCGAAATGCCCCCTCCTGTCGTCGAATTGCGCTTCATAAAGATATCGATGGGTAGCCGGAGTTTGATACTTGTTGGTGTCGAAAACCCATGCGGTTTGCCCCTTTGCCTGGATGAGCTCTCATCGAGCTCGATGAAATAGGCGGTGCAGTGGGGCGCGCCAGAAGAGCCCCACCGCACCGCCTATTTATTTAAGCCCAGCGTTTTCTACCAAGTAGTCACTGACCTGAAATGGTAGCGAGCTGAGAACTAGAGAACTACGTTGATATGGACTGTAAATGGACCATTAGAAGCACCAAGATCTGGTTGCGAGACTATATCTTTTCCCTGACCCTTCGCGAAACCTTTCAGAGCAGACAGACAGAAGACAGCGACTTTTAAAGGCAAAGCCCGCGCAGGGCACATCGTTGTTGGGGAATCCCCAATAAGGGGGGGTCGTATTTGGTCGCCAGGAGGGGGGTCGTATTTGATCATTTTTGGGAGGGGGGTCGTATTTACGTTTTGGCGTTGTGGGAGTGGCGGTTGACTTTTGGTGATTTTCCTGTTTCATGCGTACTATATGCCTGCCCCCCCCCCGCTCGACAGCAAAATTTTTGGTAAAAAGTAGGGAAGTTTTCGAAGTTTTCGGGAAATTTTAGAAAAAGGCAATTTTATGAAAAACCTTCACCCGTCGTATCAATTCGATGAGGGTGGCACAGATGGCTGGGGGGGGGGGTCGTACAATTCCCGAAGGGGGGGCGGGGGTTGTGTAAGAGTCGACTACAAATCCCCCAACCGGATTGATGTGTCCTTGAGCCCGCTACATTCGCCATCACCATAGTGGCGATGAGGAGTATTGCATATAGATGACAGCCGGTTGCCTGGGTAACTCGAACAGTGAAGAAGAAGAGTTGAACAAAAGCATGCGAAATGCTCTCAAATAAACCTTCGTTCCGATCCCAGTTTGGTTTGTATACATGCCCAATTGACTCCATCTCCAACCATACGCACTCATCCGCCCACAGTAGAGTCCCGATAAGGCGGCTGTTTATACTTTGCGGCAGCGTAGCGTAGCGCTTCCAGCGTACGCCAGCGGCAGTGTCGGGGAAAGGATAGATATCGATCTAGCGTTCCCAGCGTCACCAGCGTACGCTAGCGTAACGCTAGCGTAGCGACCGGCACGGGAAGCATACGTATCTGATCTAGTGCATTTGTCTCTTTACTTTTCAGCTTCCAGCGTTTCTATATGAGCGTTTCACTAGCGGTTATTCGCTAGCGTTTTGCAGCGCGGGGCTAGATGAGTATGAGAACAGTAGGAGGAGCACAAAAATACTCTCGCATACTCTTCCTATACTCTCCAGCACCGCCGCGTGCAAAAGCGCTAGCGAAGACCGCCTCATTGGAAGCCGGGTAAAGCGCTACGTCGCTGCCGCCAAAGTATAAACTCATCCTAAAAACTTACGATCGTACCGAATGGCAGATTCACATGCTTCTTCGTTTGGAGCTTCAGTATTTTCCACTGAAAGACAGGCCTTTGAGGTGGGTCTGGAGCGGAGTCACCGGAAAGAAGGATACGTCACTGGACCTATATTACGTTATAGCGCCCCTCCCTTACGATTTTTTGTCGCGAAACCGGTACAGGGTTGTTCTTCAAGGACTACACTACCCTATCACCGTCGTATTTTCAACTCCTATACCTGATCGCGGACCGTGCCCTTAAATCGTGGTAGTCATGGTTCAAAAGACCAATGCTGGCACCAGTGACTTGATAAAAGCCAGGCGCGCGGGCTGGCCAATATAAAAATAGCGTTCACGTCTGGACAAGGATGGTAGATGGTTGCACTTTAGTCAACGCTATGTTTCAGCTGGCTAAAAAAGGTGTAGTATAAAACAGCTTCGAATCTGGAATGAAGTTCTGAATCGAAAATCTTCCCAGACCGCTTGGAATGATTAAATCCTGGTAGGTATTCTGACGAAAGTCTCTCAGGCTTCTTGCTAGTTTTCCAGAGAAAGCCGTCCTCTCCACCACCGAAAAAGGACCAATTCGTCCCGCGTTTAAGCAGTTCCTAGACTCTTTTCTTACACAAGTAGTGTGGTTGTCAGTCTCTGAGGTTGTCCCTTTTTGGCGGCTCCACAGTAGTTGACAAAGGTACTGCAGCCCATAAGCGGCAGTTCTGACGCCTTTCTAGTTGCATCCAAGTCCAAGAGCAATTCATGCCACACGTTCAAATTCTATATTTTTATTATTTTTCGCTTCTTCCACTGTCAGATGGTATCAGCATTGAATGACGCGAAGAAACGACTAAGCTGCTTTCATACTTTGCGTCAGCATACGGCAGCGCTTCGAGCTTACTACACCAGCCACTGGGAAAGTATAAGTATCGATCCAGCAAACGCCAGTGTACAGCTGCTTTTCATATACTGGCACGCGGCGCGCGCCCATTGCCGCGCGCGACGAAGCGACAATTTACGATTCTCTTGCTCGTCACCCCACTAGCATGCGTTGGTGGATGCTTGAAACGTTGGATCGATATACTCACTTTCATCGTTGCTCGGAACTTGCTGTATGCTGGCGTACGCTAGATTGATACTTATACTTTCCTAGTCGCTGGCGCTGCATTACCCCCGAAATGCTGCCGTGCGCTGGCGTATGCTGACGCTCAGTATGAACGCAGCCTTAGCGAGCCAAAGCGATATCCTGCCGCCTTGAACCAGAGGCGGCAGGATATCGCTTTGCTGGCATAAAACGAGCAGGTCTGGAAACCTTGTGCAGTGGGGCTCCTGGGGGTCCTCACGATGACCTCCATGATTTTTTCCAACTTCTTTCTCCCTGGACAGTCATTAGCAACTATAGGATTGTAACTGAACGCTACTATCCACAACACGCAATCGCGGGGTTTGTCATCAAGAAGTCCTACACCGCCATTTCAACCTGCTCTTAAAGTGCTAGCAGGCGGGTCAATCGATTGCCATCTAGTTCGTGACTGCCTATTCCTCGATTCTGGTGTCCTACAAGTTCTCGACATATGACCCCCCCCCTCCCCCGCTCCCCGCTCCCCCAGATTTCACGGTGCTAACGGACTATATGAACATCGTTAGTATTAAAACACAACTCTTCACCTACTTCCCATCGTCTTTATAATCTCGCTTTGAGCAAAAACATGTCTTAGAAAGTGAGAATTGAGGCAGATACCTGCGAAGCTAGTAAAGTAGGTCATATGCCTCAGACAGATGTGTCCCAACACGAAAGTATGATTCCTGTACCAAGACCAGCATTGACAGTTTTGAGGTGATGCGCTCTTCTTTTTTCCTTTGGGCTAGTAGTGCTTGATAGGGGTCGTTTTCACTGAATAAGAAGACAATCTTGTTTCGAATAATCCTTTTTTCGCGTTAAAAGTGTGGAATGTGTGGCTGCAGCTCAAGTGCTCGCTTTTTCCTCGCTTTTCGATAACCCGGGATGGGACAAGGAAGTATCGGCGGCTGTACTTTACATCATGATAGCGACTAATGGGATGCGCAGAACCTATAGGAATTATTGAAGAATCTGGCACATCTTGACAAGAAAAGGTCTGCAGAAATGTTTATTGATACTTCCACTGACAATAGAAGAGAGGACTCCTGTGCTGAAGTTACTATTCGGAATATTCATGGCTTCTTCAGGGGCTATGGATTATTTGTGAGTGATGCACGCACAAATAATCCATAGTGCGTAAAAAGGAGGATGATGTTAAAATAACCATCATTTTGTGTGTGAGTTCACGATATTCCCGGACGCATTCGAAACTCTCATCGTTGTCCAAAGCCATTCTGTTGCCTTTATTTCCGAGAAATATGATGTTTTGTAGGGTACCTGTCAGATGGAAGTAAAAGACCATGGTGCTCTCTTCTCGTCAAAGAAATCGTCCATCCTCACACCTAGGAAATTGTCGAAGAAGGTTGATGCTTCTTTTGATTATCTGTGGCTCACATTTTTTTAGTCTCGAAATCCATTATTTCAGATTTGTGAGGCAATCGCATGGTTTCTCTCCTCCATGGTACTTTTTTGTCCGAGAAAACTGAATGCCAAGAAAAATGGAACAAGGTGAGCTACCTTGTAATGAGTTCCTATTTGAAAAGCCCTGAGCTACCTTGTAATGAGTTCCTATTTGAAAAGCCCTCGTCGAACAACGCTGGTCGTGAGGTGTTATACTGCTTTCTAAGGCACTGTTCAATTACTACTACTCCAGACACTCAAGAAACTTTTTTACTTTGCCCATAAGGTTAAGTTAATGTGTTCTTCACGAGCGTGAAATTTATCCCTGACGCTGGCGCCGTTTGGCGCCACTAGACCCCAATTTAGTCCCACCACTTTTCTCAGCAATCGGTGTGAACTTGCGCACTGGGGTTACTCATCACCCTGATCACGAAAATGACATTCATTTTCAGCCCTGGCGCCATTAGGACCATTAGACGCCAATTCAGCGCCACATTTTTTCATCAAAATCGGTAGGAACTTGCATAGTAGGGTTGTTAGATGTTCTAATGAATACAGCATGCATTTTTCGACACAAGCGCCATTTAGCGCTCGGCTAAGGCTAAGTCTGGGAGCGGAATGTTGTTCAGACCAGGCTCAGCCTTAGCAGAGCGCAAATAATCGTATTGGCGTTCATTAGCGCCGGCGCCAAGATTGAGAGTCAACGGAACCGTAGAACCGTAACCTGGATGTCAGATAACATCCGTATAGAAGTTTTCATCTATTTCGTCGATCGAGGATATTTTGAGGTCGGCGCTTTAGCACGAGCACCAGGCGATCTCATGGTTGTCCATGGATATCTTCCCAATGATTACTGTCTCGAAGTCGTCTTAGATACCCATAGGCGGTTGAGGTTCGCTCGATCAATTCTCCATCACATCGGTGCTCGAATCAGTTCTTACCGTGCTTGGGGTCTCTCAAGCTTTGACGCGAAACTGCTTTTTTACGGAATGTCCCAAGTCTTCCTTTAGCATACACTATGTGGAACGCCGCAAGCATGATTTTCTTGAACCATTTTTCCAGATTAGAAGGACTGCCGAATGAAATTCTCCTAAAAATTGTGGCTTATTGTGACTTTACTTCGAAGATGAACATGCGAGCAGTACGTTTCCTCAGTCTTTCTTTTAATCTTTTTGATTTTCCTCAATGATTACAAAATTGGACTTTGAAGGTTAATCATCGTTTCTGTGCGTTAGTGGAAAAGAGTGCTCACGCAGTCCGTCATAACCTTATTGGAGGTGTGGAAATCAGGCGAGGCGATGGAGATGTGGAAGATACGTTCGATCGAGGTGTCGGTTTTATTGACGATTTTTATGCGGTTCCATGCGCTAGTCCGAGGACTTCTAGCAAGGAGTCATTCAGGTGAACATCATTCTTTCAAATGCTCGAACTTTTATGTGACGCTGTGTCGTCCTCTAAAGCAGATGGAGCTTCATGAGGTTTATGAATCTAATGGATGGTCTGTCCACAACCGGTTCTAAATGAGCTTGCGTAACTGAACCAATTCAAAGGTATGAAATGAAATTCCAGGTAATTATTTGTAAGACTGAAGCGCTAAAGCTCATGAGAGAGTCGGTGCTGGACGCCCTCTACTCGCACCCTCCTGAACCATTCTTACATGTTTTTTTTTCTGTCTTCTAGATTTCGTTGCTTTTCAGACATGTATGCGTCTGCCATTCACTGAAGCTCTGCGGAGTTCCATTAGATGAAGGCCTGGCCTCAGATATTCTCGACGCCTCGTTCAGAGCTGTCAGTGATGTGATCATTGATAAAGTGCACACCGTCACTGCCGAAACACTCGTGAAGTTGATTGGTAAAGTGAGAAATCTCTCAAAATCGTTTTGGGTTCCTATTTCTGAGAAGTTTGGTAAACTGAGGTTTGCAGTCAACCTCGCAGATCCGTGTTGTTCTGCCTTTGAGCCCTCAACAACCTCAGCCCACCTTACTAGTCCACAGTCCAAAAGCTAGACGACGCTCGTTTAGCCGCCAACCAAACGTTAAAGACAGCTCCCGCGATAAAAGTGTCAAGGATAATTGCTGATCAATTATGAAACAGTAGCTGATAAGTAATTCCTCAATGAAGGAAAAAAGAAACAAGAGCCCTCAAGAACACCATAAACAAAATCGCGCCCTGACAGTCACACCTCCCTGCGGTCTCTGTGCAAGCCCTGGCTCACAAATCACTTTGTTAACCCACCCTCCCAGTAGCCGATATCATCTAGAACTGTGAAGAAAAGAAAACAAAAAACAACAGAAACATAGAGGAAAAACTCTTGAAAAGAAAAGGAAGCATTTGAAAAGCCGGCTTCCGAACATAGGGTTGCGGTAGCGAGCACTTTGAGTGTATGGAATGCGTCACACGAGCCTTTTGCTACCACAGAAATTGCATCATTCGTGATTTTTACGCGTTTTACCTTACGAGATGGGTTGCTGTTGACTGTACGTGCTCCCAATGAATAAAATGTGATGAAGGAGAGCAGAATTATTCACGAGCACGAGCGCGGTCAGCAAAAAAAATACATGCAATTTCGATTAATGCCCTGCCCGCCGCCTCAACAAAGAACAACTGAGTTGGCCTCCCTCGGGGTATCTAGCAAGTGAGGCGGTTCAACTGAGCAGGCGTTAGAACTAGAACATTGAGCGGTTCTAGCTCGCTCCTCGCATCGCGTGAAGAGTCGGCGAAAGAGTGAGGCATTTAATCTAGCGCGGAGCTGAACTTACGCTGCTCAAGGAAGGACGACGCATGTACTACTTGAGCGCGGGGCTGTCCCTTTACACGTCGTAGTTATGACAATAACGATTTTTCAGTAGGGCGCAAGTGGCTCACAAAAGAATTTAGGCGTGAGGTTGAATGCATTGCGATAGTCGGCTGCGGACTCACACCATACTCGACGCGCTCTACCTAAAAAAAAAGTGGTCGTGTTTTCCGATGTCTGTGCGTGGTTTCTCTGAACATGTTGCGTATTATTTATTATTATTTCAGCGGGCAACTGTTCAACTATTACTACTCCAGTTTTCCGAAAACAGGCCGGATCTTCATCGACTTTTTTCTACGAGGGCAGATTTCGCTGAAAGTTGGGTTATAGGGGTAATTCGACCTCCTGAACACGAATATCACATCCACTTGGTCTGAAAGTGCCTGGCGCCCGCGACACAGGCGCCGGCCCAAAAATCCCTAGGTCACTAAATCTTCTGAAAACGGAGGTTATTCGACAATATTTTGATTACAAATATCACACCCATTTAGGCGCTGGCGCTGATGGGCGACGCTGCGATTATCTGCGCTCTGCTGGAGGCTGGCCTGACCTAAAGGAAATCACTCTTTCTCCCAGGCTCAGCCTTAGAAAAGCGCTAAATGGCGCTGGCGTCGAAAAATAAATGTATCAGGGCATCAAACATCCCCATTATGCAGGTTTATCAATTTTGATAAAAAAGGGTGTGGCGCCAAATCAGTGCCTAATGGCGCCAAATGACCTCAGGGCTGAAAACTAATTCGGTATTCCGTGATCAGACATCAAGTTATCCTACTATGCAAATTTACACCGAATTTGTGAGAAAGTGCGGTGAGCTTTTTTCCAAATTACCGCATTTGAACTTATGGTTACAGGGATATTGGTGCTCTGATTACATCGAGTGAACATTACAACTTAACCATAGCACAGGAGAAAAAATCATGGAAACGCAACCCTTAACACGCTTTCTGAGCAGAACGAAAACTGCCCATCCTTCAAGCTTTTATGGGGCGATTTTCGAACTTTGTTGACGGAAAAAACGACCCGCTTTTTCTCCAATAATATTTCGCAGTTCATTCTACAGTGGCATTATACTCTGAATAGCTCATCGTTTTTGTACACCCGCAACCGCAAGGTATTACGCCGCGCAAAATGCCTACGCACGCTCTTTTTTCAGGCTAAACGCGCGTCGAATGATGGTGCAAGTCCGTCAGCCGACCTATGGCAATGCACTCACCTCAAACGCCTAAATTCTTCTTGTGACGCCACTTGCGCCTCTGAACAATCGTCATTGTGTAGTTATGGAAAGCTGAGTCAAGCCACACAGGCGGGCAGGGACAACCGCCGGATCAATAACAGACCTTTATACTTGCGGCAGCATTTTCAGAGTCTAGGAGAGTGTAGATTAAAAATCTAGCGTACGAGCGTTTCCACAGGCAGTCGCTGAAAACGCTGACGACGCTCAAAACGTTGCCATACGCGCGAAACCCTAAAGGCCCTGTATGCTTAAAACCCTGACGCAAAGGATAAGCGGAGCGCTGGACTGGTGAACGTAGGGTCGGTGCGGACGTATTTAACAGAGATTTAATCCGATCCGCATCTTATATTTAGGCTTATCCATCAAATAAGTTGGTCTTCTGTAATCACTGCTCGATTCAGTCTTCGGAAGCAATAGTACCTGAACTTCTGTTGTCTTGTCCTGCACGAGATGTTAGCATAGTACCTAGTGTGGCGTTGGTAAGTTTTAGTCTCACTTTCATCAACTTTGTGCAGTTTCTTTTTATTTCAGTTGCACCACTTGTTTGATGATTCGGCTCTCGGTCGCGCGCCTCGTCTTATCAGATCATGCAATTCGGCGGAATATTCGACTCCCTCTGTGTGCAATCACTCACCGAGGCATTAGTCGCGCTGCTCAGGTATTTCAATATTACTATTTTTTTTACCACGAAAAGAAATAATACATTACATCTTATATGACAACATCCACAGCTTTAGAATTTTAAATGACTCAAAACAGTCATCCAGGCGTTCTATAAGCGGTGCTGCGATGTAATGGCTGAACTCACTGCCGAAATGCATGCACCAAAAATTGATAGTATGGTGGTTTACGCAGTTTTTTTTCTCGTACTCTTCTTTTCATAATCCTACTATATATAATCCGCTAATGTGTGTCTGTTGTGTGTGTGCGTGTTTTGTGTGTGTGTGTGTGTGTGTGTGTGTGTGTGTCACGAAATTCATAACGCCGGTCACAGCAGCAGGGAGAATTTGGTTTCAAGATATGATATTGGGCATGGGAGGGGAAGATTATTGGTGGGTGATAGGAAGTGATATCTACTGATAAGATCCGATAAGGGGCGTCCAAAAGGTACGGTCACCATATTCATAACAAGGGTGACAGCATTAGTTGGCTGTTGATTCTCAGATATGATATAGGGTATGGAAGGGGAAGATTATTGGTGGGTGATAGGAAGTGATATCTACTGATAAGATTCGATAAGGGTCGTTAGAATGGGATCGCCACCACATTCATAACGCTGATGAAAGCATCAGTTAGGTATCCATTTCAAGAGATGATAAAAGGTATGGGACAAGATTATCATTGGTGGGTGACACGAAGTGTCAGCACCTGATAAGATTCGATAACGCCATTAGAAAGTTATGGTCACTGGGTGTTCACATCGCAGATCACAGCGGCAGTGAGGCGTTGGTTCTAGCAGGTGTTATAGAAGGGGAGATGTGGACATCAGCCGTGGGTGGCTGGAAGAGATAACTGCCTATAGAGGCTGATAAGGAAAGTTGCAGTCGCGTCGCTTGTTCGAGGTGGTTCACGCTACCAAAATATAGAGATTTAGTGATGAGGACATTGATGACGGGTGACAGGTAATCTTATCAATCGATAAAAACCGATAAGATGCCATCTGCGCTACATTTTGATCACTTTTTACCGCTATACAAAGCCGTGTATTAGACGGCCAGTGGGTGAACTCATTTCTCTCGAAATGTCAGCGAAGTGTTTTATGGCTACTAGATATTGAGTAATGCTGTCGATGCGGGGGGGGGGGGGGGGGGGGAGGGGGGGTATATAGCAGCGGCTGAAACGGGAAAATCGAGAAACCATCCAATCGAAAAATTCGCGGGTTAGAGCGGGCGGGCCGCGCATTTCAAGCAAGTTATAAGAGGAACTTAACATTGGGAATGGTGAACGTGCTGTCGCCGTGTAACATGATGTTACGTAAAATACACGAAGAGTAGCCGTGTAATTACACACCGCAAGCATTTACCGTAATCCCAAAACTGTTTGCATTCACCCATGGAGTGCAAATGAGATGCCATAGGTTGGTCACTACGTAGGCAAATAATGACCAACATAGTGTACCTTAAATATTAAATAGGATCCTAACGGCTAGTAAATCGCTTCTAAGAAATCACTTCATGCTTCTTCCCTTTGTAGAAACGGCGAAGTTTTGCGGTTTTCACTCGGCAGCTACGCACTAACGAAGAGTATTGTTTTTTTTACAAGTTGTCTGATCAGCCGTTTCACTGACATCGTAGGGTATCCTACTTGTCTTTCAGCACCTGTATCGTTGCGCACTGTTCGTTCTTGGAGGATTATACATGATTTTCATTCCAATCCATTTTTGCTATATCGAACTTGCAAGGCATCTTGAATTTTCCTCCCGCGTACTATGAGGTATCAGCGGCTGGAAGCAGACCTACAGTCTAACGGCGCCTTCCTCATCTTGCGAGGTCTCGATTTCCTCTGTGGTTCTCAGTTTGGATGCGATTTTCCCTTTTGTAATGCGGGGTCTGATTCACGGCCAAACGTTCTTTCCACGCGGCTATATCTCTGTCCCAGTGAAGAGAAAGATCACTACCGCAGACACCCATTCAGGTGCTGCTTTGCTTCTCGCTCGGAAAGGAAGCCACCACCTTTCGTTTCGAGCGAAAGGCAGCGTCAGCGGCTAGGGATCAAGATCTCAATGTAGCGAACGCCCGCGTCCACCGCCGTCTAGTCTAGGAGTCATGAATAGGGATATTTGAGGAGACATCATGAAAATGCGTTGTGCACGACCGCACCGTACAACTGCCAAAGCTTAGAAATGTGGCTTGATGTAAGGTGTAGGGCAGCTTTGAGGTGCCGTAGCACGCACCGCAATATCGGATGCCCAACCAGCTGTGCTAACCTGCCATAATCCCCACTCCTGGACCCCCTTGCACGCTGGAGTTCGCTACTTC